ACACATATGTACAAATAATGTTATGCGATAGTGTTTTCGGCGGCAACAACACTTTTTGGTCAAAGAAACTTTGAAACAATTAACCACCACTTTGTTCCTAGGTGTTTTGAGGTCGCTGAGTACGAATCTGAAGTGAGATTTCAAAACTCTAGGGCGAACACAAAATTTAATAAATCAGTAAACTTTATCAAAACAGTTCATTTTGGGTTTTTTTGGGATCGCTGATTACGAATCACTAATCTGAAATTCGAATTTTTTAATGACGGTTTGGACAGACTTTTTAAATAAAATGAATAGTCGTTATATTTGCTTACGAATAAACCATTTTCCAACTTAGAACTTTACATACATACATACATGTATCTATCTATATCGACCCCTGAGTGGAAGATCGACCTACATATCTCGGCAGCCAGCTCGAAAACGCCCTATCTCAGAAGTTTAGCTGCTATTTCTAGTACTTTTTTCTGCCTATTTCGTTATTTTATTTTGCCTTTTTTATAGGTTTTTAGGTCTTAAAAATCCGCTCCCTGGTTATAACACTAGGACGCACATCACAAATTGGAGGCGAAACTCGGCCAAACACTTAGCAAAAATTTAAGCGCCAAAATATTATTATTGTTATTAACCCTCAATATATCATTTGCAATGATCTTGCATTGAGCTTCTTCAAAATAAGGTCCCGAAAGACCTCTTATGGCAGGAGTTTATGGGTTACAATTTACTAATAAAAAATTTCTCACTGAATTTTCCTAAATATACATTTTTACAGTACGGGGTTTACTCACATTGGGTAGTTAACGGTAAAGTTACAAAAAGTGCAAAATTTGTTAATTTAACTTCCAAATGCGAGTGTACTGGTCACTGTGAAAGCAGTCCTCCTCCGCAATCGTTTGGACACTATTTTGTTGAGGCGTTTAATCATATTGAGCTTTTCATTTCAGGATACTGCCCATGAGCAAGCTACTCAGTGCTTTCAAGATGGCAACAATGTGCTGCGTGTCTCCGCTGCCACAGACTACACCATAACTCCGGGAAAATATCAAACTTATGCACAGAAGATGCGCCGCGAAAATAAACTAGCTAAAATCATATTGATTCAACGTAATTTCCGTAGCTACTTATTTAGGCGGTACGTTCGGAATACGGCAGCAAAGTATCGGTAAGCCAATATGTGAACAATGCATGCATGTCGCTGCATAACAAATTAAATAATTGCATATGTTTATCTTTTTGGGGTTCGCATCCACGTCCCTGATGCAACGTAGCCGGTTGGTGGCCAATCGCAAGGCTGAAGAGGAACGTCTGCAGGAAGAAGCTGAAAAGCGTATCAAACGCGTTGAATTAGCCAAGCAGTTTCCGCGCACCAAAGATGACTTTGAGATGTTGTACAGCGAGGTGCAAAAATGGAAGATAGCCGAACTGAAGCGTATTGCACGTCTGTACGAAGGGCCAGCGCGCATCGCCGAGGTCAATGTGTTGCTAGACAAGGAGATACAGCTACGCAACGGCATCGAAAAGCAACGAATCATCGTCAAAAAGGCAATGGAGGATTTTCGAAATGAAAAAATGCTAACCAAGTTGGGCGAACCAATTAAGTGGATCGGCTATAAAGGTGAGATTTCAGTTATTTTTAACTGCGAGATAACTATTTAAAAGCTAACGGACGGAACGAGAAAATACGGGTGATTCATTAAGGGCAAATTTCAGATGAGCAATTTACTTAAGTTGCCGATTGATGAATACAAAATATACCGTTTTCGGTTCAAATATTTAAACTATATTAAAATGCTCAATTTCGGCTGCTGAAATATGAAAAAGCAACCCCGCTTTTGAATACGAATTCATATATAACTTAAATGCCATTTAATTCTTGATCGGAAATTCGCCTTTAGACCAAATTTTAGAGGCAATTTTTCCTGGAATATATATGTATGTATGGGAGCGCATGATGAGGAAAAAGGCACAAATGACATCGAAAATGTAGACTTCAACAGCGGTCAAATGAGAGGAGAAAAAACAAATCTATGTATCAAAATGTGCAAGTGTCAATTATGTATTTAACTTTTGCAAGTATTTTGAAAAAACTCTCAAAAATATGCCTACTGAGTTTCCCATTGAACGATATTGATTGATATTTCGCGGGCGGTCCAATCTGGCTGTCACACAGAGTGACAAAGCAGATTGTATTTTAACACTAGCAAATGCCCGGCTTGCTTCGTGCCGCCTGATAAAGAGTTCTTGCGTTGACCAATACAAAAATAGTGTTAAAATGCAAAAAACATTAAGTAATGTAGAAGTAATTAGTTTAGGTTTAAGGGACTGAAGAGCAGAACCTTTCTCACTCATACTACAAGAATAATAGCGCTGAGATAGCATATGGTATATGTACATTAGAGATGGGCACGTGAGTGATTTTAGCTCACGTTCACGCACGCTCACGTTGATGGTTTTGTAAAACACGCACAATCACGTTCTGCCATATTTTTTTTACAATCACGTTCACGCACGCTCACGACGCATAGTTTTTCTCATCACGCACGCTTCTTCACGGACATTTTTTTTCAAATTCAAACTTTCTTTATATAAATAGCATTTCATATAAATAGGCCTTATCTCTCACGAGTATTGTTACAAAAGCTCTTAATTTTTTAAACAAATTTCATAGAAAAGAATTCACATGAATATTCATTCAACGTGATTTTAAAATGACATTAGCGCATATTTTTGTTTAAAAATATTATTTTGTCGAGGATTTCACCAAGCCATCGTGTAAGCCTTTCTTCTAAAATTCCGCCTGACACAGAAAAAAATCGTTCGTTAGCACTGGATCACAAATTTTAGTTTGGTTTTTGTTCTTCTCTTGTTCTTAAAATGAGCTAATAAAATTCTCCGTAAACCATATGTACTTCAATTTCCGATAGGACTGATAGTTTCTGACAAATTAATGAATCATTCCAGTTTTTTTTCTATTCTTTAATGAATAAATGAGAAAAAGAATCAAACTTTAACAGAAGAAAAATTTTAAAAATAACAATTTCTGTGCCAAAATTTTTGCAAAAAACAAAAAATCAAGTTACTAACGAAGAAAAGCAATNCAACAGAAGAAAAATTAAAAAAAAAAACAGGATCTGTGCCAAAATTTTTGCAAAAAACAAAAAATCAAGTTACTAACGAAGAAAAGCAATGGATGAATAAAGAAGTAATGAGTGTTCAAACGAAAATGCGCAAGGATTTTTTGTATGAAGTCTGAGCACAAAAGCATGTTACACAGGGGTGTACGTGGCGTATGAGTAACTTTCTTCCCTGCTCGTTTTTCATACAAAATATCTTTTCATAAAAAACTCCATGCTTGGAGGTTATTTTCAAATCGGTCCAGCTCATGTAAATCTTAATATTTTCCCAAATATTTTGGTGGACGTCTTTAAATATAATAAATTTTGTAATTCCAGCGGAAAACCCACAACTTTTTTTTTGGTGATGCAGTCTAATGTACAACATACATATCAAGCCCTAACCGCCAAAAATATGTCACGACGTGTCACGTAGAAAATCACGTCTTTTGCCCATCTCTAGTATACATACATGCATATGTACTAATTTCCTTCGATGCTATGAGCGCCGATTTCCACCTGTGAGCAAGTATTGCAAGGTTTGCCGAGAGTGCGTAATCTTGTTCGATAATCCTGCTGTTCCACAGGAAGAAAGAGTTTTTCCGTTCAAACGGGGTCACTGATATTTATTCCTACCGTGCTCTTTCTAATTCGTCACACTTGATCTTATGTACATATATACCGACGACTCGTGGATGTCTGGGATGCTTAAAAAAATGTGTGTTTTTGGGTATGCATACTTCGAGCAGTGGGCTTTATTAAGTCATGTAAAAAGTAAATTTGTAGAGGGGTATCTAAATATCGTGATTCCAGCGCCATTTATGTTTTCGGTCCATTTTTTGTTGTAATGGCGTAGAAGCATAAATCCACATGACCACTGGTGATTATCCGACAAATAATCACATGGCAAAACAAAGCTTCAGAGAATACTGAAGACTTTTAGATTAAAATGGAAGATCTGTGAGAATAAATGGGAGTCCTGACTGAAACACATCTTCTCATTTGCCGCATCCAGTAAATATTATTATATGCAATTATATTGGTCATCATTTTCTTTACTACCAATCTTGTTTCATTATTAAGGTTAGGTGGATTAAGGTACTTAAAAAAGAATGAAATGCGCTTTAATTTTTAAATTGATATTCTGTGAACGTAGACGGCATGCGTGGTGGGAGGTGCTACTCCTCCTTGCAAACTCTAATCCGATTTTAGTTTACAACAGGACATTCCGTTTAGCTGTCTGTTCGTAATGGGTCCAAGGTTATGGTTCTCTCTTTTGGAGGTGCCACGCCCCTGACAAACACTCACTCTCTTTCACTTTACTTTAAACGCCACACCATCTTGTATAAACTCATTTGTATACATTCACCATAGAACTTATCACCAAATTTCAAAGTCATGTGAATTAGGAGTCCGAAGATATAGCATATGTAAAATTTCACGGCTATGGAATGCGCCGCGCCCCCTTGTACAATCTAATTCGTATTTACCTCATCACATCCGCCTACTTTAGTTATGTCTTCACACAAAATTTCGAACTCGTGTGACTTATCATTCCTAAGTTATAGCTGATTAAAATTTAAAGCCTGTGGAATGTTCCGCGCCTTCTTTTACAAATTAATTAAAATACACAAATATGAATACTTTACTTTAAGCATCTATCATAGATCTGTCTTCACATCAAATTTCAAAGTCACGTGATTTACGGTTCCGAAGTTATTGCAGATTAAAAATTGCACGCCTATGGGATGTGCCGCGCCCCTTTTAAAAAAGTATATCTACTTTTCTACAAGCCTCTACCATAGATATGTATGTTGAAACACCAAATTTCAAAGTCAGGTGACTTACGGTTTCGTAGTTATAGCTGATTAAAAATGTCACGCCTATGANACTTGTACAAACTAATTCGCATTTACCTCATCACATCCGCCTACTTTAGTTATGTCTTCACACAAAACTTCGAACTCGTGTGACTTATCATTCCTAAGTTATAGCTGATTAAAATTTAAAGCCTGTGGAATGTTCCGCGCCTTCTTTTACAAATTAATTAAAATACACAAATATGAATACTTTACTTTAAGCATCTATCATAGATCTGTCTTCACATCAAATTTCAAAGTCACGTGATTTACGGTTCCGAAGTTATTGCAGATTAAAAATTGCACGCCTATGGGATGTGCCGCGCCCCTTTTAAAAAAGTATATCTACTTTTCTACAAGCCTCTACCATAGATATGTATGTTGAAACACCAAATTTCAAAGTCAGGTGACTTACGGTTTCGTAGTTATAGCTATAGTTATAGTTATGAAGGCGCCAGGCCCCCTTGTCAGATCCCATTTTTTATACCCTACGTTATGCCCGAGGTCACTGTGTAGGTACCAGTTAAAACGCCATGAAAATCCATTCAGTGGTTCCGGAGATTAGTGAGTTCAAACACACAAACAAACTTCAGCTTTATTATACTACATATATAGATATAGCACAGTCTATAATAAATCAGATATAGGCAATGTGGCTCCCAGGAGCCTTTTGCACTTGGGAGCCGGTTTGACTCATTTAGGTGCTAGTTGAGGGGTAACATCAAGAGCCAGCATGAAGGAAAGAAGAGCGTATTAAAATTTCTTTTACTCCAACTCCAATATAATTTGTAAATACTGTATGATGCTTTTAATGTATTTTTACACCCCCTTTACCCTGAGAACTGATCTATCTCTTGCGTAGCACTTGCTGGCTCTATGGCTGCTTTAAGAGTCAAAAAGCTGCCCATCTCTGATATAAATCAAAGTTACAAACTTTCTGCGAAAAAAAGCAACGTATTTAAAAAAATTGTCATCAAAACTTTAAATTTTTTAATCAAGTCAATGATGGACATGATCTATATCTCCCATGATGAAATTATTTTCTAACAAAATTTGGAAATCGAAAATTTCAAAAGTATATGGTCTTAAATTGAGCATGGTAGTTACATATGTAGTATGTACATAAATTAAGAAAATCATATTTTTCAAGATTTCAGTCGCTGTGGTCCACTTCTACATAAATTTGTTTAATATTTTTTATTTCATAGTTTTTAGTCAATTCGCATATTTCTAGAGGTACATAATTTTTTTTGCCCTATTTTTTCAAAAGATAACGTAATTCATTTGGATTTGTTACGAACACAACGTGCCCGCTTTCTTACTGAAATCTATAAGGATATGCAAAAGAAAATGAGCAAAGAAGAACGGTTAGAACTTTTAGTGAAAGTAAAGCAAGTTTTGATGGACGAACGAGACTTTCCAGATTTTGCCGAGGTTGGTATCACTTTCAAAATTTCATTTTTAATATTTATGTATATATATATGCATAAATATATGTATGTAGGATTTATATATACATACTTAACTAAACACTACATTCACTTAAAAAAAAAAACTCATTTCAGATGTTTGACCTGATTGAACGTGAAATAAACTTAATGCTACACACAAAATACTGTGACGTCGAAGTTTTACATAAGCGACAAAATATTCTTTGGATGGAGCTCATAAAATTCTCCAAGGATAAGCCGAAAGATCGTATGACAAGCAAAGAGTTTTAGGCTTAAAGTAAAAACCAAGAACCAACAAAAGAAAATAAATAAATTACGAATTATAAATAAAGTTATAAAATATTTAACAAATCTTATTAAATTTAATTAAGTCATAACAGCCATTATAGCAGAGTAAGCGCACTTGAAATTATTTTAGTAAGCAATTGAATTTTATATGCAATACGAACGTACATATACAGTGCCGGACAAAAGTATTGGCACAGAGAATTTTTCGCAATATATGCAAATTTTTTTATTCTAATTTATTTTCAATATTTTTTAATAAAAATATAGTTCGTACTTCACCAAAAAACATAACAACAAAATCTCTAAACTTAGTGCAAAACTCAGGAAAATTCAATAAATTTGCATACTAATTTGCAACTTTTTATTCAGATTTTTTAGAGAAATTCTAAGTATGTAGTTTTATAGCCCAACTAATTTTAGTATAACAAAGTGCAAGTTTGAAGTATCTAAATAATTGCGCTGATTTTTGGACATTTTTTTAGTAGAAGGTGTTGCTCATTTTCTCCATACAAAAAATAATTGTCGAACATACTTTGTACGGAAGAACCTGACTCAAAAAAAAATTCCCAAAAATCAATGCGATTTTTTAGCACCTTCAACCTTCAAGCTTGCACTTTGTTATACTAAAATTAGTTGAGCTATAAAACTGCATACTTATCGAAAATAATTTAGAATAAAAAACTTTTCAGATATTGCGAAAAATTCTCTGTGCCAATACNTTATGCATATATTAAGATTTATATTTCAGTATTTCTAATAAAAAAGGCGATACATTTCGACATTATCATCGCATACATTCCACTAATCCATTGACGTAGTCTGGTTTTTACTCTAAGCCCTCCAAATCATTCACATGGTATTTCACGCATTTTATGACATGTGCGTCGTTCCCTTTTTCAGTTGGTGAAAAACGCATGTGCGAAGTGTGTAAGGAGGTTAAGCCGTTTAACCAGTTTGCGCTGCGTACGCGTCAAAACAATGTGGACACTTGCAAACGTTGCTATTACATGAAGGTAACTCAGTATGTATGTAGATATATATGCACACACATATGGTGCAACTCCTACCACAAATAAGCCGCTGATGCAGCGACAACGCGAAAAAGTGATTAAAATAGAAGAAATAACTTCCGTACCTTTTCTATTGCCATTCTTAGCTGGCCTCGACTGACAACAAGACGTATGCGGCCATATTGCGAGCCATTCAGCGAGACGAACGCAAGCGCCGCAGCAACGCCTCATTCGCATTCGTACTGCAAATGGATGACATACGTTACATTATTGACCAAATTTGGCATAGTCATTCAATACTTAGCAAGAATGCGGTATTAAGCAATTTGCGGTAATTATGAGTGCTGTAATCAGAACGAAAGACTTGAGCGAGAAACACTAAAACGATATGCAACATTTATACATGCATACATACATACTTTGTATATATTTATTGCCTTTTTCATAATTTTACATATTTTTGCTTACCTTCTTCGACAGTTTGCCGCGCTGGTTGAAAGGTGAAGATTGGTCACCGTGGAATTGTATTTGCCTTACTGAGTATGAGGCACGCGATCATTACAGACTAGACGATCCAACCACTGTGTACGACCATAAATTGGTACTTGAGATAGGCAATAGGCATATGTTGGCGCGCGCTGCATTCCATAAAATGACTGAAATCGCCACTGAATTTGTTGAGACCGGACAATGGTTCCGTGTTGGATTGAATAAGCAGCGAACTGTGCCGCCACCGAACCTATATCCACGCCCCAAGCCAGTTATGGCAGCCCGCATTGAAAAGAAAAAATGCTAGTAAAATGTAAGAGTGCAAACGTAATACTTGCTTTATCACTATGGGCGATTTTAAGAATATATTAGCAGAATGTTTTTAAAATTAACATTTTATTTTTTAAATAAAATTTAACATTTACTAAATTTGTACCTTCCTTCGATACGGCAAATCTACACTTTTTTACATTGCATTTTATCGCCTCCGCGTGAAAGATGGTAAGAAATGATAAACAAGATGAAAATTATTTTTTGATTATTTCAGAAGAAGCGATAGATAAACTTATGATGCAGCGCGATGCAAAAGTCAATCATAAACTTTTTTAACCATTGCGCCGCTCACAAATTGGCGTATTAGCCACAAATATGCATGCTTAGTGTGCCTTACTCAGATAGCTAACCATAATCATGCTTCAATTTTATGACTGATTATCGCCTTGAACTTCGCTTCCAAATACTGCACTCGTTTCAGCAGCTTGTCGCTAGTATTGAATTCATTATAAGGAACTGGTATGACTTTGTATCCACTTTTTTCCAACAGCTCAAAGGTAAGGTTCGTAATGCCTCCAGCTGATCGATGAGTACCATGGCAGACATCATGAAAGTCGACAACCATCAATGCGACCCTTAAAAAAGAAATATAAATTTATGCATAATTTAAGAGAAATAACCACCAAAATAAATATTAAGAGTTGAAGGTATATCATTTTCAGTTAATGCTAAATGAGTTATGTATTTCTTTGTTTATATTATAGTCTAATCATAAAAAATTTCTGTGTAGACTAATTCTTTTGCGATACATTTCTGTTGTTTAATATGCGATAAATTATAAATAGTTTCACAAATCACATGAAATATTTAAATATCATTGAATAACTGCAAAATAAAAAGTTGGGACTACAATTTTTTTGTAGTCACATGACACAGCGAACTTCTACTGAAAAATTTATACAAATCGTTAGCTGCGACAAGAATGAAAAGATATTTGTGCATTCACACGATTGGGACACGATTTGTATCAAATTTTGGGCAAATGCGCAATCGTGTGATATTGCCTTCAGCAAAAATGTATGTAACTCCATCAGGTACATATACATTTGTATTTAAATTTTCAGGCTTGGAAATATTTCATAAAGGGTTATAGGTTATATAATTTTAACACTATTCTCATACATACTTGATTGCATTCGGATTTTCTTTATCCATAGATAATGGATTTCGTTTGTTGTCAAATAAACATAGAGCGTCTAAAAAAAATTAAAAATGACGGGCACATTACAACAGATTTATGAGCAAAGCTTACCAATTAGGAATCCCATTTTACTGTCATATAAACTCTTCATGTGATTACTCGCTGGCAACAAGCTTTTGAGAGCGTCCAACATTCCGTTAACTAGAACTTGCTTAGATTTTGAATGTGCCATTGGTAAATTGTACACATCACTCTCTAAAGGCAGTAGTGTCCCATTGTAATCGCTAGCCAAAAGTTGAGCATATGCATTCAAATTCAATAGCTTCATTTTAATTGTAGGCGAGAGACCATTGCGCTCAATTTCAAGTTTTTCAATGAATTCAGGACTTTACGAATAAAAATAACATCATAAAAATAATAAATAAATTAAATCTATGGCTAGATCTTTTTTACCTCAGAACAGTTTTCAATTGCTCTTGATTTACAAGCCGTAACATTGCTAGCGCCCAAACGTGATTCAGCCAATCATTACTTTTCTGGAAATCCGCACTAACTATAGATGTGACCAACTTTCTTCGAACTTCATCTATATTGGTGGTTCTGAAATTCAATATAGCTGAAGTAATAAACAATGCACTTATATCCTGTGGTCGACAAATTTCGGAATTTTTTAGTATCCATTGAGTCAAAGCCTCCATTATATCTGTGAAGTACAACATATTTCGAGTATATATCAAATCATATTTTTATTATTTCATTAAGTTCCCACCTAAGTCACGGTACTTCATTATACCCAAACTTGTTAAAATTGACCCAACGACAGCAGATTTCTCAGTATTCTTTGGGAGCACTGTCTGTATATCGGCACACATTTTTGCGGCTAGAACAGAATCCTGGAAATTCAAACTAGCCATTGCATACAATATGTCTGCCGACTGTTTCAGATCCAGCTGTTCTGTTGTGCTACTAATATTAAAGGCAAGAGAACGAAGAAGTGGTGTGCTTCTTCGCCTCCGCTGCGCCAGTGTACTCATGACTTTAACCATTTGTGGTAAACTTATACTAGCGATCAGCTTTGCAGCCTCATCATCTCCTGCGACTCCTAACACTGTGTTAAGGTCATCAGTACGAAACCCGGATATACGTTTGGACACGTTATTTTCACTTGCGCCTGCACCACTTCCATTGCTACTCTTAGGTACAGTGCGACCTAACACACGACAAACACGCAGAAAGCGTGCATCATTTTCAAATTCGGCTATATTTGCACGATTTATTGAGCTCCACTCAGCTAATATGGAGACAATTTTCAACGCATGGTTCCGTGAAAGTGGTCCATTTAATTCGGATACAGACAGCAACCCATTCACCGTCTTTGCGTTACGGATTTTTTCATCTAAATTGTTGCTTCCATTAGAACCTGAGGTTTTAGACTGTACCTTTATGTCCGTACTGCCACTGTCTTCTTTGAGTGATTCAAAAGCTGCAGCCACCAGAGAACCTACAAGAAAATATATTTAAATAAATTTCACCTGGCTGAGAAACTAGCTTACTTTTCGGCTTTTTAACGTTAGCATCAGACGCATCATTGGGTGGTGGACTTAACACCTTTTCGCCAGTAGTTGGCGTCGAAACGTCGCCTTGCTTTGGTGTTGCTGCCGCCGCCGCTGTTATTCCGGCCCCACGCACTGATGTGCTGTATGTAGCATACTGCATATGGCGAAACAGCTGTGCGGCAACACCTCCGGAAATGCGTTGCAATCCTAACATTTTCTACACTAGTAAAGCGCTGGTGTTGTCCAGTGGAACCCGCTGCAATTGATAGAATGATTTACATAACCTTCTCGTTGTTGATGACAAATAACATTTAAAAAAATAAATACAAGAACAAATTATAAGCTTTTAAGATTTTTATAAAGCTTAAAACATGATCTAAAAATAACATTATAAAAATCATATAGTAAATAAATTTTTATTTCACAAAATTTACATTTTTCACAATGTGTAATAAAAAATCAACAGACACCGCGAGTGAAACGTCAAAATGCAATAAGACATCTTTAGGGATGGAAGAATATTATAATCTCATAAGAACGATTGCTATCGGTCCGGCGATCGACTATTTTATTCCGTACTACGAAGTCATAATGCTACGTTCTCATACGAAGTACATAGGTACATATTTCGGACTATAGCATCTAAAATCAAAAAAAAATATTCCACGCACTTGAAGTCAAAGCTTTAAACCTAGGTTTACACACTATTTTAACAACTACTTTTGTTATTTTAGGCACGTAATTTATTAAGAATACCCAAAGGAGACCCATGATTCAATAATACAAGGTCAGATAATTATTGACAGCCGCGGTTTGACAATCCCATCCAAAAGGTTGCATTTACGAAGGACAGAGAAAGGGGAAGAATGCAATTCCTTGTTGCGAAAATGGTGTAGAAAAGTACGTAATGTAGGCAATTAGTAGTGAAATTNAGCATGTTGTGTACATAAGGCACGGCAAAGCCGTTCCCGAAATGTTTCTTTATTGTTACATTAACAGCATTTCCTCACAATGATTTTGCTTCTGCTCCAAGCAGAATCCATTAGCAAGTTAACTAATCAATCCCGCGGAGATGCTGCCGCAGTCTTAATTGCAAAGCAATGGAGTGCACTAAAACGTTTGCTGAAGCAGCCTCACTTGCAAAGCAATGGAGTGCACTAAAATGTTACCCATTCTCTAATAGATTAAGTGAAAAATGCAATATTTTCGCGTTTAGCAAAATTAAAACACGTTTTTCACTGTAAAATTAACTGTTTTGGAAGTTTTAACTCGTTCTTCTTTTCGCTCTATTCTTTGTTTACTTGTGGTACACAAATGTCAACTCCCAGGACGGCGCAATCTTGTATTCTATCATTCTTGGGTTTACACACTATTTTAACAACTACTTTTGTTATTTTAGGCACGTAATTTATTAAGAATACCCAAAGGAGACCCATGATTCAATAATACAAGGTCAGATAATTATTGACAGCCGCGGTTTGACAATCCCATCCAAAAGGTTGCATTTACGAAGGACAGAGAAAGGGGAAGAATGCAATTCCTTGTTGCGAAAATGGTGTAGAAAAGTACGTAATGTAGGCAATTAGTAGTGAAATTACTTATGTAAATTGTAATGTATTTGCAGAAAATCTGGCATTTTAAGCGAAATATTGAACGAAATATTAATATATCTACGTGAATTATGTAATTCTTGTGCTATTTAGCTGTATAAAAAATGCAAAAGGACTCAAAATTAAAGTAAAAGAACTATTAGATTTATGTAAACATCCAATTTAAAAACAATTTATGTTTTCATCAGTTAAATGTGCTTCATATTCATATAAAAATAAACACATTGCACAAAAGCTTATACTTCTATTTCACAGCAAAGCTACACTTTTTGCAAGTAAATTTGCAAAGAATCAACACAGTGCCACTGCTAAGGTGCGGTGCGAGAGAGACAGCTGTCAGTGTATCGAACCTTGTATTATTGAATCATGAAGGAGACCACTCATGCCTCTCCAAGAGCAATATATATCAGGGCTTATGTCTTGCCATCTATTGCCGGCAATTTGGCTGTTCGTCAGCTACATTTTCATTTGCACGAAAACTTCGTGGCGGCAACAATATTGATATTTTAATATAAAAGCAAAAATTTAGCTATTTTCCATTAAGAGATTTGATATTATGTGCTTGGATGTAAAATAGCCTATTTTCCTAATTTTTAAGTGATTAAGTTCGGCAAAAATACCTTTTAGAAGCCATCTTACAACTGCTTATATCAAGAAGCTGAAACAGATGACAACGTTGACGGATGAACCGACCCGAGTGGGGCTTAGTAGCCGCTACAACAACAACAGCTGGACAGCAATAAATTTTATCCCGTGGAGACGGCCAGTTAGTTGACACCAATTAATCACAATTTATTAAATGAGAACACCTTGAAAATCATGCTTGTGCCTTTGGTTGGATATGCAAATTAAATGGCAGAGTTCAAATATCAAGCTCCAAAATATGGAAGGACGAGACAAAATAAAATAAGATATAATCCAGTCAGCACTAAAAATGTAAACCCTTTCATGGAAAATATGTGTTTTCTGCAAAAGGTGTTCAACCTCTTTTCTTCGTCAACATAGAAAGGTGAATTCTTCTTACTGCGGGTTATAATCCATAAGCGCGGCCGAAGACCGCCTACGCAGAAAGGTGTTCTCTGGAAAAGGTATTCAGCCCCCTTCTTCGGCAACTCAGAAAGAGTAATTCTACTTAGTGAGGGTTATAATTCCTAAGTGAGGCCAAAGGTCGCCTACACAGAAAGGTGTTCTCTGCAAAACGTGTTCAGCCCTCCTTCTTCGGCGACACAAAGGAGAATTCTACTTAGTGAGGGTTATAATCCCTAAGAGTACAACTCCACAACAAGCTTTTCAGGCTTTCAGTTACACAATTTAACTATTGCTGAAAGCCGGAAAAGTGTCAAATGCATGAAAATATTAGCTCTGGTCCAATACTTTTCGTGAAAATCCTGCAAAACTGTCAAACAAAAAAATTACTCTCTGAAGTGAGAGTAAAAAGTGAGTAACAACAAAAAGTACGGGAACAAAAAAACCATTTTTCCTGTAAAAACGTCAACCAGTGATTGCTTGACACTTTTCATGATTTTACCAGAAGAAAAGGTTCGAGTAAAATCTTGCAACTTCATTCTCTACACAACTCTCCAAAAGTCGCTCTCATTTACAGGATTTTTGAGGATTTCGGAGTACGGGAACATTTTTCCTGCAACTTCCTGCAAGTTCGTGCAAAGTCCTGTAAGTCCAGTCCAGTACTCCATGATCAGAGCTATTGTTGTGGATTTGTACTCTTATCGCGGCCGAAGGCCACCTACGCAAAAAATACTATCATAATACTATTACTATAAGATTTCTACCCGCTGAGCTTTTTTAAATTTAACAACGTTTTTATTGAATCTTTTCTTTAAAAACTTTTTTTATATAACTTTTATACAAAATCCAACTTGGATAATTTCTTTTATTCAAAAATCCCACGGGTTCTTATAGTTGGGTTATATTCCACTTCCTCAGTTTTCCTCGGTGAATTCCGTTTTTCCCCCATTTTAAAACGGCTTCCTAGGGTCTGTGGGGGATCCGGCGGGGGTGGGGTGCAGCTTTTTATAAAGTGGGGACTGTCCCCTTTCTAATGGAAGGGGTTTAGAGGGCCATGCCCCCTCCGCCCTACCCTCGAAACGGTGGGTCAGTAACTAAACATTTCCCAATTTTAATAAAAATTTTCTCCAGCTTTTGCTGAAAAGTAAAAAGTAAAAGCTAGTGTACATTTTTAGCATGATGAAACTATAGTAAGTAAGAAACGCAGAGAGGGAATTTTAAAATCCTTGACGTACTTGGAGCTTTAATTTTCAATTTACTTACAAACTCACACATACATTTATTTAACAAAGTGTGATAGAATTTGACGTTGCTCTCATAAGAACCATTCTATAAAGTCAAATAGAAAATTGTGTATTTGGAATCGTTCGTTTATATTTTTTGACGTACCTTAAAAGAGGCCTTTACTGAGCTGTCACACCCCTTCTTTAATATACCGCCCCGCCAGATAGAAAATCTTTTCTGCGTTACAGGGTTTGTTTTTTGACCGACATCCAAGTTAACTCTATGATTTTGAATAAAAGGCGCCACATTGGCAACGCATGCATTGCCGCAACTGGTAAAATTCGCCAATTCTCAACTTTTGGCGCGCGCATATGCGGCAAAACAACAACAACAATGATCGGATCGAATTAAAACCGGCTGATTTTTGACCAATCAAATTGGGATGTTTGGTGTACGGCAACGTTTTCATTGTGCCGTCTCACCATGTTCTGTGCAATTTGTCATTCAGAAGCATCCCTGTGGAGCACAAAAGATTTTCTATCTGGCGGGGCCTTTATCATGGATAAAGTTTTGAACTAAATGCCGAATTTTTCTACATATGTATTTTTCTTTTTCACAGCCACAAAATTTTGTAAAAACAACTTTGCAATTTTTTCGCAAATAGTTTTATTTTTTTTTTTCAAAACCGAATTGTAGATTTATATAAAGCGATGAAAAAGTTTTTNCAGTTTTATTTTTTATTTTTTCAAAACCGAATTGTAGATTTATATAAAGCGATGAAAAAGTTTTTGACTTAAAATTTTGACAGAACAAGAAGTTGTCCCCAGAGGATAGTGGAGGGATCATCGTTCTTATCTAGTTGATACCTAATAATTTAATTTTTTCTGTTTCTTAACTCCCATTATTCCGGATAAAGCACGGTTATTCTATTCTAGATCCGGAATGAATACAGGCACACGCTCAAGATAAAGCAAAAGAAAAAAGTCGATTGCCTGCCGAGGGACGACACTTGTTAAGAGGAAATCTTTTTCTATTTTTTTTGCGATGTTGCTTTGACCAGGGCTTGAAAACAGGTGCTGATAATGAAAGTGCGCACTGCTTACCACCACACCACAGCGGCCGCCGTCAAAATGGATAAAGAAAAATTCGCGCCAAATATTTTCAACAGTCAAATACACCGAGCAGCTGATTACTTGCTAGTTTTGCGTTTTTTTCTTTTTGTTATTTCGCTTTCTGTGAGGGCAATTCTTTCAATTTTCTCATTCCTGATAATTATCTGCTAGAAAAGAAAATACGCAAAGCCAATATCTTTGAAATGCATCAACAGCTGACAAGGTATGAAAACGGTTTCTTTATAGCCGCGTATCTCATTTAATTATATTTAAATTAAGAATGAGTGGATGCTCCTTTACGGCAAACGAAAACATACAATCCGCTGTAATATACTTCCGCCACGTACATATAAAACGGACCGATTCTGGCACACTCTTAAAATCTTTTTTAACTAGTTTACTATGCAAACCTGCGGAAAACTGCGCACTCTTTCAAAATCACATAATACAAAAATTGCAACTCTGTATTCATTTAGTGTGATACATAAACCCTGGTGACAAATCACCAAAACTTTTTTGTGTTCTTTTCAATACATTTTGCCACAAATTATTTTCAAAAACTTCAGCAAATTTGGTTGTTTTTAATTTCATTGCTTAATTCCTATGCAAAATTGTTCGGTGCGTAACAGTTAATTTGGAATTGTATGAAACTTGTTCTAGTAAAAGCTTAAAAAGAGCGTAAAGTGAACGGGTGCGGATAGAAAATCGTAGGAATTTTGCAATAGTGCACAACGAAGTCTGTAACCAGTCAAGATAGTGAAGAAATTTCGAAGCTCGAAGGTACCAGTCAGCACAAGCAGGAAAAAGTAAAGCAAAATGGTTGATAAATTCATCAGCATGTGGAAGGTGCGCGAATTGGCTGATAAAGTGTAAGTGGGAATATGAATAAAAAAGCACTCGAGTACTAATCAACTAATTGAACATGTTGGCCAAATAGTTTTATGCAGTCATGTAGAATGAGCTTTTACATAGTTTACATATGCATACATTCAGACATATATCTATATCTATGTACTATAATATCCAATTTATATATATGTATATATGTATATCTAGATCGGCAGATAATAACTATGTATATAATGTATACAAATTTATTGCAATATCTGGATATCTTTAATACCACGGTGCTATCAAATATAGTGCAACTTTTCCCCAACTCAAGCACCATCATAATTTGTTTGTAATATGGCAAGTACATTTGCACTTAGTTGCTTAGCTTAAAGTTAAGAGGAGCGGTGTGAAATATAGGTGGGTTTTCAGCTCGAGAAGACGTCTGTTGCTTGGTATTCATTACAGTGGTAGGAGTCAATTTCTTCCAGGTATTTTAGTTACTAGTATTTGTTGTGTTTTGGGTTTTTCCAATGTCTTCATATTTTGCTTCATTGAAAGCTTTCATTTTCTCATAATCAAATGTTAAAAAATACTTCCTCATGCTATTGTGCTTCGCGTTTTCCATTTCCATATTTGTTTATTGGTTTCTTCTAGGCTATGTACGTATATCCGATAATATTTTTTTTTCAAATGTGTGCGATCCCAACAAACATTTAGGTTTGAGCTCAACTTGAGGTTAAGATACTCTCAAATCTCCAACGTTGTTTCTCAACAGCACCTCAAGTGGAGGATCAACACAAAGGGCATTTTTTTTTGTATGAAAATACGACTGTTTCTGAAATTGAGAAAATGCTAGTTCTCAACTTGAACTCTAATGTGATTCTCCAATTGGTCTCAAATATATCATTGAAATACTGAAATTGAAATAGTAAAACAAGTATTTTTTAAGCAAAAATACAGATGCCTTTAATTCTCATATAAAAATTTAGAAGTAGCGTTAATTTTATTGTGATCAAACGATCGGATCTAAGCCAAATTAGTATGGGACCACCTATTGAGAGGTCCAAAGTTATGCGGTAGCATTCATAAAAAATATATATATATATTCCGACGAATTGATAACCTTCTCCTGTTTAGTAAGTCGATTAATAACTTATACCTTTTTGATTGAAACGACATCATTCATATGTAGATGAATTTAAATATAAATTTTTTATTTTATAACTCCTTTTTTATTATGTAATTAATCAATATCGTATTACAATAAGTCATTTCACAGCATACAGTCCGACAGGAATTCTGCAACCGGATTCACTTCGCGTTTATTTTCTTTCAAGATACTTTGAAGAGTATTTTATTTTTGTTGGTAATTTTCTTCTTTATATAGCTTTAGTTTTTCAATCGATACTTCCAAGGTTGGAGTAATATTTTTTTGGTGTTTGTTGGGATATAATTATTTTTTCTAAGCATACAACCTGCACCTGTTCAGCGGAATTACATATATGCACATGCATATCGTCGCTGCGCCAACAAAAACAGTTATGTTTTTTTTTAATAACTTTTCAGGAGACCAAAAAGCTGATTCCTGGTGCCAGCATTTTCCAAGTGTCGCATTAAAAAAAAATCATATTAAAAATATGCTATTGATTTAGGAAAAAAAATTAATTTATTTAAAGCACACGTGCTCAGTTCTAAACCAAAAGAGATATAAGAAAACGGAAAATGCATAAATGTGGGCAATAGATAGTGTTAATAAAATATGCAATAAAAAAATTTACAAAAATCACATATTCACAACGGTGTCGTAAATGTGGTATTGGTTGTGAACACCCTATATATACATATATATATGTACATATAGCACTTGTGCGTTTGGCCAATTGCGTTGATAGTCCATTCTGATATGATTCTTTACTACATCACTGTGTTTAAATCTTTCTTGATTACAACACTGTGTTTAAAAACTTATAGCCTTGTAAACTGAAAAATTTATGAAAACGTCAATTTTTAAAGCTTTTTGAAACTACTTAATTTTTTATGAATAAGGCCATTAATATTTGTTAAAAATGTCACCTTATATGGCAAGGGGATTTTCGCGCCCGACCTCGCGCTATAAGACTATATCCGACATATATATCAGGACTAACGGGCAGGAAAAATGCTTGCATTTCTCAATTTGTTAAAGAGTGCACTCAGAGCCAGCTCTCAGCTTATTTTGAACGCATTTTTCGGGCGCATTTTTTGCTGCAACATATTTCTTGCCTTGATCTTGCCAGCAAATATTTCGATGGTCATTAACCAGCCACTAGAGGCACCTTTTCCAACTAAGGATCCGACCATTCCAGTCGCAAGCTCTTAAATAACAATTCTCTAAACGTTTCCTAAGGTCGTCATCAAAAGAACTAGAGTTGTTGATTTGACGCGGGTAACAAAATAATAAATTTAAAACAAAATAACAAATTTAATAAATTTTGCTATTATATAAGGCAAACAAAACCTACGTAGTGTAGTTCTGTGAGAATTTTCTCTATCGCAGGGCGAATGCAATACAATAGCATTTTACAACAGAATAACCTCGGTATAATTTGAAAGAGGCCATCATGCTGATAATTTAGCTAAAGAAAACCATAGTCCGGTTTATTTTATTTTTTCACAAAAGTAAAGTGGTCACGAGCCATTGTATTGCGACTAGAAAATTTGAGGAGTAATCGATCTGATGCTTGAAGAAATGTTGTTTATTTTAAAAAGTTAGAGATTTCGTACCTGCACTTTGTGCCGAATTTTTTTTATTTTTTAGTTTTCTCTCAGATACACCCACCCCTATACAAAAATTCAATGACATACCTACAAAATTTGAGATTTATTAGGAAGTTAGATCAGCTCTGTAAGCAATCATTAATTTTTACAAAATAATTTTATTGAGCTTCACGCCAATTTATATGAAAAATGTTGTGGAAAAACACAATAATAAGTTATTTTTTTAATAATGTTATTGAGCTTGAGGACGTTTTTAATCCATTTGATCATGAAGAAATTAACGCCACTTTTAAATTTTTGTATGAGAATTGAAGTCAGTTTTGTTACTTACTTGAAAATTATTTGTAAAAGAGAAATATTGTGGATAAAACCAAGGCATATTCAACAAGGTAGAAGTGACAATTCAGTTGAGCTCTCTCATACCTGACTGTAATGTCAAAAAATGTAAACAAAGAAATTAACCCTTTTGTTAAGCATTTACCATATTTGATAGAACTCAACATCTTTGAAATGAAAGTTTTTGTAAATATGAAAATATTTAAAATCTCATTAGATCAGCTTCATTTTATTTATTGAATTTTCGGTTTAATGTAAATGTGGAAATGCATACTTACACAAGATTACACACTAAATGAAACACACTCATTTATAAAACCGTTTTGACAATTTTCTTGCTTTTACTATCCCAATGTTTTTGAGCATTTATTTTTTTATTCAAATACTTAATTCTAAAGTATATTAGACATTAAAGAAAGTCTGATTCTTCTAAATTTACATCAGAACTTAACTTCAATAATTTGGTTTTTGCAATTCGAAATTTCCTTTCCATTAAATTTATTAAAAATTACTTTCAGTTTCTTTATGTCAACAAGGAATACTTACTGGTATATGTTTTATCAGACCACTATTTGAAATTTGGCCTATCCATGTATGTATATGAAAGGGAGATTTTCTTTTCATATTCGGTATCATAAATCCTGCACCTGGGACCAAACGCTGCGATAGGCAACAAAAAAGTCACGACCACACGTGAAGAGTCTCCTAATGAAATATCGCAGCAATTTGCCCACCGTTGTCGCTTCACTTGACAATTCGAAGGTTTAAAATAACGCACCAGTTTGTTGTCCAGGTTCTTGACGCTCGCATTTCCTTTTCATTTTATTATGTATTTAAAATCAGTCGCACAGCTCAAAATTGAAAATTTATATTAAAAAAAAAAATGAGAAGAAGAGAAAAATGTCGAACTCACTTCTACCTTGTTATGCCTTAGATAAAACACAATAATATACAAAAGGTATAAGTCGTAGCAATTATTTCGGAGCTAACATCTTCTCATCAGACTATTTCGTCGAATTCACTGAGACTTGAACCAGCAACTCTGACGTACGACTCCAGCGTTCCCACGACAGTCGGTTATACGTAAGCGGAACGACCCAGATTTATATTTGGCCAAGGACTGTCACTCCAGCAACACTCCCCAAAAACTCTTTGGGGAACTTGTATGCTGCTACAAAAACAACAACAACAACGTACAACTCCAGTGGTCTATCCACTGATCCAATTCGGACAAAAGATAACAAAAAATAAAAAGATTTTATTTCTCCTGTGGAGTTTGAAATTTGTCCAAAACGCCTTTTGCATGTGTGGTGGCGATATCTTCAATTTGTAGTTTTGCTGAGGCGATGATCATTGACATTCTGAATTCTTCTAGCCAATCTTCTAAACGCCTTTGAGCTTTAAATATTGTATGAGCATGAGCCAAGAAAAAAAGTTGCCCCCAGAATAGAAAAAACATCGGGTTTTTATTTGTTATCTTACGTCTCTAATTCTTTGACGGCATATTCTTGCAGTGTGACGTTTGCGTAAATTTTCAAGTATGTAATTTAAGTTTTCACTAGCCTTTTCACTTAATTAGCACATATACAATTGCATTATTAGAATTTATTTGATCATAAAATTAGCACAAGCTTTATTTAACAGCCGAAAATAAACAATTAATTAGCCTACAACCCGCTTCAACACAATAAGTTCAGCAAGGTTTTCAAGTTTTTTTTTTGTAAAAAAAAAAAAACAATTAACGTTACTCTAGTTTGGCAAATGCATCTTGGGGACCCAGTTTTAGGTAGCCTTCGAAGGGTTTTGAATATTGCCTGGGTCTTGCCAGGTGCTACCGCGCATCTCTAACCACTTGGCATCGGCAGCCGCCAATATAATATTTGCGAGCTTTAGCTCGTTTATTTCTTCATACTAATTTGCAAAAAGCTTTAATTAGAAAAAA